CAGCGCCCCTAGAGGACAGAGTGGAACTGTCCACAGGGTCTCCAAGGCTGTCAATCTTCACAGAAGCAAAGCCCAAACCATACCCACTGCTGTGGAGTCCATTCTGACCCACAACGCCCCTAGAGGACAGAGTGGAACCGCCCCACAGGGTCTCCAAGGCTGTCAGTCTTTACGGAAACAAAGCCCAAACCACACCCAGTGCCGTAGAGTCCATTCAGACTCACAGCGCCCCTAGAAGACAGAGTAGAACTGTCCCATGGGGTTTCCAAAGCTGTCATCATTACGGAAATAGACCGCCACATCTTTGTCCCACAAAGTGGCTGGAGAGTTTGAGCTACCAACCTTTTAGTTGGCAGCCAAGTGCTTTAACTACTGCTCCAGAACACACAAAATCACAGAAAGTTAGTAAATGAACTGTATGAAGCTATTTAACAACAAATTCCCAACATGACAAAGACCACTCCTGACCCCAAACAAAACATACACACAGATAGGAAAACTCTTCAATATAAAGTTAGGGGGTGAAATTCAGCATTACCGAAAGCAATTTATTACAGGGAAACTTATTAATACAGTACAAATAAAATCAAATGGAACATTGACATGAATACTCAAACAACTCCAATGGAATTCAATACTTGTCCCCTTAAAAACTGTAAAAACTACAGATCAAAGAATTATACATTTCTTTACATAAAAATGGAGAAGAAGTACAAATCTTCCAAGTAAAACGAGAAATAAAGTAAGAGAGAGCAGCAGAAAGTGTGACAAACTCAGTCAGTCACCAAGCTAACCAAGAAAGAACGTCTGTATCAGTGTAGACGGAGAGTTCATATGGGGGAAGGGACTCCTGCCTGTGTCAACAAGAACATCAATCATAAAACAAAACAAAAATAAAGTGAAACAAAACACAATCTGGAACTAACCCTAACGCAAAACGTCAGGAGCTAAACAAGAAGAAAGGTACTCGACTTTATTGAGTTACAAAAGAGTAACTGAACACATCAGGCCTGCCTTATTTCTCAGTGGGATAACAGTAAGATAAAGCAAAATGTTTTAAAAGCTCCCAGTGCTGTTATGACAGTCAGACTTTATCCAGATAGGTTCTAATGTGGGCCCATGAAGCCAAAATTGCAAAGTCAGAAAAGACAATACTACATGGCCATCAAATAAGATGATAAATGTTTACATCGGCTGGTACAGGAAAATGGCCAATGGCCAGTAAATTGTCAGGAAAAAGAGAAACCAGGTGTAAAAGAAAAGGACCAGTAGCATCATGGGTGCATGGACCTAAAGACATACTAGTTGCTCCCCAGAAGACTCCAACTCGGGGCGACCTCATGTGTTTCAGAGTAGAACTGCTCCATGGGGTGTCAATGGCTGACTGTTCAGACGTCGATCACCAGGCCTTTCTTCCAAGGCACCTCTGGGTGCCCTCAGAGCTCCAATGTTTCGGTTAGCAGCTGAGTATGCTAACTGTTTGCACCCTCCAAGGCCACATATAAAGACATCGATCCACGAGTGCACAGAAACAAACACTCAAGAGTGACCACCCGGTTCACTGGGGCTGAGATCACGTGATGCTTTTTCCCACTTTTTCTTTACAGGTTTTATGCACTTAGAATTTTTGCAGAAAGCACTGCAACGTTTATAAATGGGGTGGGGGGAGCTTAAAAGTGGAAAAAAAAAGACATACACCCATTTCAAGGTGGCAGGATTATGGCTGTTCACTAATTGCTTCAATGCACTTTTCTGATTTTCCAAATTTTCTACAATAATCGTGACAAACAGATATACTCTGTGCTCAACTGACATGTGACGTTCCCAGCTATTCTCTAACCACAGCAGTGATTTCAGCACCCAAGTCAACGTTCACCAGGAACAGTTCCAATAGGACACAGGGACACACAGGACAGGGACGTCTGAGCTGTTCTCACAGGCTCATTCCAACAAGAAAGGCCAGCCAAACGTGGCAAAGGACCAAGACCCGCGTGCGGCAAACCTTACCGTAAAGCTGTTGTTGACGTTTTTAGTACTGGACTCGGCCACACTTGCATCTGTCAGATCCACCTCATCAAAAATGATGGACTGGAGAGAGACGAGAAGGGGAGAGGGACGTCAGGTCAGGGCTCAGGCACCACCAGGACCCACAGCCCCAAGCCTTTCCAAGGGCCTGGGCCCCGTGCTGCCCACCACCCTCCCAGCGAGCCCCCCCAGACACCCTGGAAACTGCAGCATTTCATCAGTACATGCACACTGCTTTGGCCACCCTCTCGTCTAACAGAGCACGTTCGGCTAGCTCAGACGTGGTGCCGCGAGCTGGTCTACCCCAGGGAGACCACGGGCGATTGCCACCAGGGCTCCACAGCAACAGCAACAGTCCTCAAAAGTCAGCACACCTTCCGAACAAGCTGCTCTGTTCAATTTGAAATTGTAACGCACTATCCAGCCCTCCAAGGAACCCTGGTGGCCCAGCGGTTAAAGAACCCAGCTAACCGAAACGGGAGAGGTCTGAACCTAGCAGCCGTTCCATGGGAGAAAGACATGGCAGTCTGACCTCGTGGAGCTCACAGCCCTGGAAACCCTACGGGGCAGCTGTAATTGCAAGGCTGTAATCTTTTGGGAGCGGACTGCCACATCTTTCTCCCGCAGAGGGGCTGGTGGGTTCAAACCGCCTACTTTTCAGCTAGCGTCTGAGTGCTTATCCACTGCGCCACCAGGGCTCCTCAGAAGCCCCACAGGCTTCCACATGTTGTTCACCCATAAGCCTATGGTCCCCAGTCTTTCTGAAGAGAAAACCATCTACTTGGAAGGCATTTTTTCTGTGACGTTTTCCTTCCCTCACAGGTGACATGACATTAAATAAAACGTAAATGACTAAAAGTTAATTTGTCTGTGAAAAATAAAGCCTCTCTCAAGAGCAGTGCAACCCAACACCCTAGCACATTACAAATCGAGGTGGAAATAGGATCTGAGAGCTCCCCAGCCACCAGGCAGCCAACGCAAGCACAGCCCTCCGGCCCCGGCCCCACTCCGTCTCACCTTCGCAGTCTTTGCATAGTACAGCGTCCGCCCTCGAAGCTTGAAGTACCTCCTTTTTGATCGCTGGAATGAATTGTTCTGTTTGGTCAGCATCCCCTCTTTGAGGACGGTCTGAAAGTACAGAGATGTGGTCAAAGTTACGTGTTTTAAGGTCCTGCCACCCATCCAATGTGCCCAAGGCACACTCCTGTCCCTGACAGCCAGTGGGCCTCACACACTCACTGGCCCTGGCCTCTGTGCAGATCAAACATGGCCAGGGACAAAACACGTGCTTGGACGTGCCCTGGTGTGGGGTGCAGAAGGGGATCTGAGGCTCTCAGGACCGCAGCAAGCAGCCAAGTAAGGATGACAGTGACATGGCCTGCATGTTACCACCCTCAGCATTTGGAGGATGGCAGTGACATGGCCTGCCTGTTGCCACCCTCAGCATTTGGAGGATGGCAGTGACATGGCCTGCATGTTGCCACCCTCAGCATTTGGAGGATGGCAGTGACATGGCCTGCCTGTTGCCACCCTCAGCATTTGGTATTCTTCAGCTATCCTGAGCCGTCTCCTTCTCTGGGCTCCCGCTGATTCTCAGAATCCTGTTGCCAAACCCATCTACGTACACGGCTCAGGGGCTGGCCGCTCAGCCCGCACCTCCCATCACATATTGCATGTGTATTTGCGTACACACTGTATGTGCATCTGCTTACACACCATAGTAGATCTGCATACACAGCTCTGAGGCTGACTGCTCACCCAACATATCCCATCACACACGGTACGTATGTCTGCATGCACGCACATGTGTATCTGCATACACAGCTCTGGGGCTGCCCACTCAGCCTGCACCGCCAGTCACAGGCCAGTCACACGCTGTTGTGTGTATCTACAGGGCTGGCTGCTCACCCCGCACCTGCCATCACATACTGTACAAGTATCTGTGTACACGTCATACGTGTATCTGTGTACACGGCTCTGGGGCTGGCCGCTCAGGCTTGCATCTCCTTTCACACGCTGCACATGACCTCCCGCCACACACTGCACGTGACCTCCTGCCACACGCCACACGTGACCTCCCACTGCACATGACCTCCAGTCACATGCTGTACATTACTTCCCATTACACGTCGTATGTGACCTCCTGTCACACGTCATACATGTATTTGCACAGACTGAGAGATCCACGCACCACAGCCAAGTTCACTAAAACTCACTCACATCATCCCACAAATTTGACAGAGTCCACCATGACACGGGAGAAGCTGCCGTAGAATAATTCGGAAGGAGTCAAAATTCTTCACTGTGGCTCAATTGAAGCCAAAAAACGGGAGCAGGTGTAGCAGCGCTCACTGCCTCCCTTCATCCAAGTCCCTGACAGGACCAGGGAGCCCACTCAGAAATGCAACACCCAAGGAACCACTTGGTCACTGGACACTCTGAACCATTCGGAGCCACTCACAGCAGAACTCATCCACTGTATCTGTGCAGACCACAGCCGACTCAGCGTTTGCACGCCGCTGACACCCCACCTGACAGAAACGTCCCTTCTGCCAAGAGTCTCATCGTGGAAACAAAGGTAGAATTTGTAACAATTCTGCTCAAGGACAAGCACACTGGTCCAGAGAAGCTTCCGTTTAGTTACCTAATCCCACAGCACGTCGCGTGTAGAGTAACTTGTTAAAAAGTTTCTGTCCAGGTACACAGGCGTCTGTGGCCACCTAACACTACGTAAGGCAAAACCAACACAGAGCTACCCAGAAACTCCACTGCACCGAAACGTGTCAGAATGCAGGATGCACAGTGCAGCCATTCGGCCCCTCAATCGCCCTGCAAACTCAGGACGCACCGTGACTGCGCCACAGACGAGTGTGAAGAGAGTCCCTTCCCACAAAACATACACACCCCTAGTCAACACACACATACACCCCCCATACACACACCCACACACAACACATACACATGTGCACACTCCTGGTCAACACACATGTGTACACTCCATCAACACACATACAGCACATGTACATATCCCATCAACACACATGTACACGCTGTCAGCACACACACAACACATACACACACACCCCATCAACACACAGGTGCACACTGTCAGCACACACCCCATCAACACACACACACACATCCCACCCCCATATACATGTACCATATACACATACACACATAACCCACCAACACACATATAACATATATACATATCCCATCCACACACATGGCACACACATATGCACACACCCCATCAACACACACATACAACACATACATGCACACACCCCATCAACACACAAGTACACACTGTGAGCACACACATATGCATACACCCCATCAACACACACACCCCACCCACACCCCACCCACATATACATATACCATAAACACATACACACATACCCCATCAACACACACATATATACCGTCAGCACACACACACATGCACATACCCCATCAAAACACACACAATCCATACACACACACACACACCATCAACACACACACAACACATACATACACCCCATCAACACACACACCAACACACACATACATCCCATCCACACATACACACCCCAACACACACAGACAACAGACATACTCCAACACACACACATCCCATCCACACATACACACCCCATCAACACACACACACAGAGAATACAGACATACTCTGCCAACACACACATATCCCATCAATGCACACACACACACCACCCTCATACCCATCCCCCCTGACTCGCACTAACGCCCATCCACCAGGAGCAGCAGACTGTGCCCCATGCACATAGGCCCCAGCCTGTCCCTGAAGCCAGCCCACCTTCTCTCCCCTGCAGGCAGGCTGTCCTCCCTGGGAGCTTCCTGGGCAGGTGGGCTTCACATGTCACTACCCAAAGACCACGTGCAAGGTCCCCAACTGCCCACCCACGTGCCAACTCCAGGAAAGCTGGTGCCTTTTAGGGCTGGCCCAGCCGCACACACAGCAGCCCTTTCCCACTCCCTAAAGGGACAAGACGAGGAGAAAACAACTGAACTATCAACTCACTCACTCTGTGGTGGCCACCTTAGCCGCTTACTTTTGCAGCGATCACCCGTGCTCCTGGTAACAAAGGGCGCCAAGAAGAGAGAGATGGACAGCATTATGCAACGGTCAAGGACAGGAACGACCATCAGCCGGCCACTACAAGGTGGACCCGCAGGCTCGCTAAGCAAAGCTCTGGGGTCCCACAGTGCAGACATGTGCCGCACGGAGCCCGGCTGATCCAGGGCGGACAGAAGGCCCCACCTCAAGTCTGAGGAGCTACAGATGCAAACCAGCGTGCAACATGGACAGGCTACCGGGACTCTTCTCACATCCAAGTCCACATGACTTCAATGGGCTCTTCAAAGACACAGAACACTAATGACCTGAGACCCTGGGGCAGACGTCAGGAGATCCTCCCCTCGATCTCAAAGGACCTGCTCAGTCCAAACGCCCCTCCTTACCCCTGCACGTCTTCCTCACCTCTGCAGGGACCACTCACCTCAGCAAAGGAAGGCATCGCTTTCATTGCTTTCCTAAATGCAAATTATTTTAAAAAAAAAAGAGAGAGAGAGAGAGAGACAGCAAAACCAACAAGCTGAAGAACAAAAAGTTACAAGAAGTGATGTTTTGAGGATGAAAAGCTGGAGTATTTTCTCTGCATCTCCCACCCACAACTCACTCATGACAACACCACCCACCCCGCCACGCGTGCACACACACGCACACTCACACAAGTCTTTCAGAAAGCGGATGAGCGCCTGCAGGGTTCTATTTATAGAACAAGAGTGCTCAGAAAAAGACTGGTGGGTTGCAGCGGAAGGGGCTAGGGAGAGATAAAGACCAGCCTTCTTTGAAGCTTTCTCAGAAACGGCTTCTCCTCTTCTGATTCGCCGAGTGTGGCTACTACAGCCACGCTCCAGGATATTTTTAACCATGCCGTCAAAAGCAGCGGGCTGAACACAGTCAAGGAAACACCACGCAAACATGGGACTGTTTCACACTTAGCAGCTGTGAAACCTGCCCACAGGAAGTCCTGCTTGGCTGGCATGGCCCTTCATCGCACCACGCGGAGCAGAGAACCAACAGCCAAAACCCCAGGCCCCAGGCCCGCTCACCACAGCCGGCAGGCCCTTAGAATCAGCAGGTCTTTGCACAAATCGAAGGGCCAGCTCTTTGTTGGCCTGCCCAAGACTGTGTCTCAGGCGCCTTTACTGCTGCCGGAGGCAAGAATGGGCAAGAAGACAGTGCATAGACACCAAGAACGTGCCCAGCCAGACGCAGGACACACAGCAGCCACGGGCAAGTAGGCACTCCACCCTCCAAGGTGGATGGACACAAACTCCCCCCAAGCAGGCTGACCGGGAGGGCATGGACAACGGAGGTCCTGACGTGCAGTACAGCTGGAGCAGTGAAGTGAGGTCCCACTCGGGCTGTGGGTACCCCTGCTGCCCACTCCCAGGGCAGACACACACCACTCACAAGCCGGACTGCCAAGGATGCCTGCGGCACGGGGGCGTGCAAGTCACCGCACAGGAGGGTTCTGGGAGCACCCTGCAGAGAGGGCTTCCAGCCGGCAGGTGCAGAAGCTCCTGAGAGGCTGAGGTGCCCTGCTCAGACACTCACTGCCAGTCTTCGGCTGCGTGGGAACAGCTGGGCCCCATCCAGGAAGGACCCTCTTGCCTTCTTCACTCCCCCTCATTCCTCAAGCCCACAGCAGCACCACCATGTCACTGACATGCCCTGCAGGGACGCAACTGGAGAGAGGGCCAGAGGAGGACAGACGTAGGCACAAAAGTGCCGTGGCACAGACAGGCTCAGGGCAACAGAGGACCTGGGGCATGGGGGTGACAAAGGCTTAGGAGAGGAGCACAGAAGAACAGGGGCTGGGCACAGGCAGAGCCCACCCACCATACCAGGGGCTGGAGACAGGGCCCAGAGCAGACAGCTGGTACCTGGACAAGGGGTCTGGCTGGTTTCCTGTAGACCATGGGGAGTGAGTAGAAGCTCAGAAGTACAGTTTGGAGGCCGGGTGGGGAGGAGGCGAAACCAGAAGGCAGGCGGAAGGCTCCGGAAACTCCTGCCAGAGGGCAAGGTGGGGATGAGTCTGGGAGGAAGAAGATAGGGACACGGGCCTGAGGGTTGGGGCAGGAGATAATCCAGCAGACGGGGCCCAAGAACAGGACAGAGGCAGGAAGCCAGGGCGCCCACCTCAAGGGAAATGCATGTTTCACATGGGGAACACCTAGGGAGTCGGGCGCAGTGCCGTGGCCAGTTATGTGGGTCTGGAGGGTAAAAGGAGGTTTAACGTAGGAGAGGAGGTGCCTGTGAAGGGGGAAATGGGAGACCAAGGGTGCCAACATTTGGGTACAGAAAGGAAGAGGGAGTCCAAAGAATGAAGAAAACCAAACATGCATGGAAATAATTAGCCCAAGCAACTGGTGCACCATGCGATCCTCAGCCTGTATGACATGAGACCAGCAGAACTGGGTGGGGCCCGGCGACACTCGGAGGGGTCTCTATCCTGGATAGAGTGGATGAACATGATGGATCAAAACTCAAAACTGTAACTTAAAAAAAGGGGGGGGGGCAGGTAGAGTCTGATGGAACCCCTGTGACTATGGCCCCTGGCTGCCCTTCAGGTCTAGAACTGAACCCACTCCTGTGGCCTCCAGCCAAACAAAAGACAGGCATATGAGCTGAACATTTACATTAGGTAGATATACTCCTTGGAGAGAACAATCATGGGAGAATAGAAGGGCTGTGTATGCACAGGAAGATAGCTTGGGGGGCAGGAGTGCATGGGAGGAAAGGACACAGGGAAGAGGTAACTATGGGGAGGAAGTGGGAAGAGAGCTGTTGCATTGTGGGAAAGGGCAGTCAATGTCATGAAACAAAGTGTATGTGAACTGCCGTAGGAAAAATTAATTTGCTCTGTAAACTTTCACCCAAATCACAATAAAAATTAAAAAAAAAAAAAAAAGAGGGAGTTCAAAAAGAAAAGTGAGACAGCCTGGTAAGAAAGTGGACAGGAAACCAGGCAAGGAGTTGAACACGTGTCAAGAAGACCACATGTGCCTGGTGTGGAATGCCACGGTGAGAACATCAAAGAGGACTGGGAGGAGTTGAGCGACAGCCACGAGGAGGTCATTGGTGACCCCTCCAAAGCAGACCCAAAGAACGACCGAGAGGAAGCCTGCAGTAAAGCCACTGAGTGTGACAGGGATAGGAGGGAGCAGAGATGGCAGGGAGTTAACCCTTCATACAACTGAGAAGTCTGTTCATCGTGTTTTGATCAAGGACCCAGTAGATGGATCATGATCGAAAGGAGGAAAATCATGGAACAGAACTTCAAATTCCTATGGAAACCAGACTTACTGGATCTATTGAGGCTGGTGGAAATAATCGTTAAACCTTGAACGGAAACAGTCTCAGGATGCCATCGTTAAAGAACAGCTTAACTCAAGTAATAAAGAATGTTAGCCTTGAGCGCTAAGCTCTTATAAATTGTCTACATGTGTTCAAGCTGCCAACGAATCTACATGTGTTCAAGCTGACAGTGAATCTACACGTGTTCAAGCTGACAATAAATCTGCACGTGTTCAAGCTGACAACAATGAATCTAAACCACCGACGAGAACTTCAGGGGCAGAGAGCCTAAATTAATGACGATGCAACAATACGGGCAGAGACGGTGACAATATGGGCTGCACAATCTGAAGTCTGTAACCAATGTCACTCAACTGCTCATGCAGAAACTGCGAATGGATGTCGTAAGCTCGGTTGTGTATGTTGCCACCAAAATAAATAAAAGAAGAGGAGGAGTTTGTTAATCAAAAACACCCTAAAAAGTAAGTGTAAGGACATGCCTCTATCAGGGAGGTGCTCTCAGAAATACTTCTAACAGCCACAGTTAGCACCCAGAATATGGGAAGACTAACAAAATAAGAAGAAATGAAAAGAGATACCCAAAGAAAGACGGGTAGTAAGCACGAACAGGCATTTCCCGGGAGAGTGAGCAGGATGGTGACCATGGAAAGGTGCTTATCTCAGAGGATCACCAGGAAGAGTGCACCTGGGCAAGGCAAGGCAACGGGCCTCTTCCAGTTACTTTATTGTTATGCTTCACAACATAGTTATCTATCAGATGTGTTATTGTTTACAGAAAGAGATAAAGCGAAAAACAAAGTTAACCAATAGAAGGACAGACAAAACCTCAAGCAGTAACTGATGCTGTTAGTGTCTCCTGCATGTCAGTGAGATTGTGTCACCATGTTTCCTTGGTGACAAACAGAGATAAACCACAAACCATCAGCCAAGCAGGCAACTAGTGGAGGAGAGAGAGGGTGCTGATGAATGAAACGTGTCCAGGAGAACAAGCTGAGGGCAACGGCACCCATGCCCTCCCGACCAGCACCAGCCTGCCCAAGGATGCCCAGGGCTGGAGACAGGACTGCAGGGAGGTTGGACAAGGGAGACGGGCTATACGTGAAAACAAAAGTACAAAGGAGTAAAAACTGGGCCAAATGTCAACTTCAGGCATCTATCTGCCCTTAAAGAAGCTCTGGTGGTGTAGTGCCTAAGGCATCTGACCACTAACCAGAAGGCTGGTGGTTCAAACCCACCAGCCACTCCTCAGAAGGAAGGTTGGGCAATCTACTTCCATAGTGATACTGCCTTGGCAACCCAAGGAGGGGTCACTATGAGTCGGGGCCCACTCCACGGCACATAACAACAACATTTGCCTTCTTAATAAAACACACAGATGTGATCTAGGAGACTGTCACTAACATCCCACTTGACAGATAAGAGTGAGTCATCTGCCCAAGGTTAAATGGATAACAGCTGATCATAAAGAACCTCAGGTGTCTGTCTACCTGTGGCAAAGCTCCTTCATGGAATACATACGGCCTAAGCAAGAGACGCTCTGGTAGCATAGTGGCTAAAGCACTTGACTGCTAACCAGAAGGTTGGCGGTTCAAACCCACCAGCCACTCCTCGGAAAGAAGGTTGGGCAATCCTACTTTCGTAGTGATACTGCCTCGGAAACCCAAGGAGGGGTCGCTATGAGTCGGGGCCGACTCGACGGCAAATAACAACAACAACAAGCAAAAGATGATAGGAAATTACTCTGTTCACAAAACAAGACATTTGCAACACGTTCCAACACTTACCGATCGAGAACCTACCATGACCTACAGTATGCACCTAAGCCGTTTCCACATTTTAATCCTCATGCTAATTTTGGAAGTCGGTAGAAATATCCCCATTCTACAGATTAGGAAAGTGAGGTCCAGAGGAATAAGTAACTCACTCAAGGCCACACAGCTGCCCAATGGCACAACTGGGATTCAAACCCAGGACCTAGAGAACCACCAGAAGTATCTGTCGGCAAAGTGGAAAGTTCAGCATAACCGTCTACTGATACCTGACTCCATTAGTTAAGCAAAAGGTAACTCCTTCATCTGCTCGAACGCTACCTACAAATTCATCTTGACTCAGAAGCACCTACAACACAGG